TTTAGAAATCATATATGCTAGCCGGGTGGTGGTGGCGCATGCCTTTAATCGCCAGTGCTCTTAACCACTGGGCCACATCCCCAGGCTGCACGTGCATTTTAAGCTGTCAAAGTTATACATTTTAGTTTAGAGACATTTAAGTTTGCAGACACTGTGTTCTTTCAAACAAGTCTTTGCTTACATAAGCAGTTAGGAACTGAAATAACTCCGAACAAGTTACACAATGTTGTCTGGTAACCAGGATGTACTGTTGCCACAACACCCATGGAAATACTCTGTGTGCAAGTCTACTCTCCCTGTGTCCACATATGTGTCAATACAACACTGTTTTCTAGGTAGCATGTGTCATCTGGTTCATATAAGTGGGCAACTTTTCCCTTCCCTTGAATAGGCTGATGGCAAAAATCTTTGCAAAGGAGAAATATGACTCTAACTGACATTGAGCTGTGTACTTCCTGAAGTCACAGAGACAGCAAAGAACCTCTTTTCCCTGGTTCTAGAATTCAAGACAAGAAAACCACAATTATTTTTCTCTTCATGGCTCTTTGTCAAAAGAGGCTGAGCCAGAAGATATGCCCAGCTGCCCTTAGATTATTCAGGGCTACACCTTACTGTCCCCTGGGAGAGGAGATAGGGAATCCCACAGCCGACATCCAATCTGTCAGGAAATCCTCTTGGCTCAACCTTCAAAATGTCTTCCGAGCCCTGCCATCCGTTACCACATCCTCTGAGCCTGCCTGTGTCAGGCCACCAGTGCCCAAGGCGGTTTCCTTCCTTTTCTAGTTACTGCCCTTGTTCCCATTCTACTACAGTACTTCCTTCCTCAAAGGGCACCTGCCATGTGATACCTCTCTCTCTCTCTCCCCCTCCCTCCCTCCCTCCCTCCCTCCCTCTCTCTCTCTCTCTCTCCCTCTCTCTCTCTGTTTCTCTGTGTAACAGTCCTGGAGCTCATTTTGTACACCAGGCTGATCTTGAACTCACAGAGATCCACCTGCTTCTGCCTCCCAAGTGCTTGGGACTAAAGGTGTGCGCCACCATGCCCAGCATAACTGTTGACTTGACCACATGCCTGCATCCTCTTGCTATTGTCCAAAGCCTTCAATGCTTCTCCTCACTTCCTACCACATCATATTTTTAGTCTGACTTGCTGTTTCCCTGACTAGGATGAAGGATAGAGCTTTTCTGGGCAGGCTCTAATCGATTGCTTTCTCTCGTTTCTTTAAAACTGAGAATGGGGACCAGTACAAACTATCTCCTTGATAAATATTTACTGAGGGACATGGATGTATATGAGTGGGCATTCTTTCAGGATTCTGTCACATCTGCCATCTGCTGGGTAAGGCAATGTAAAGGACCCAAACTAGCCAGGTGTGGAGGGAAAAGGCCGAGCGAGTTTAAGTTCACCGAGAACTACAAAGCCACACCTCAGGAGGGGAGGAAAGGAAGTGTGCGTGCGTGCGTGCGTGCATGCGTGTGTGTGCATGTGTATCAGGGAGGAAAGACGTCTGGAAGTAAATTACTGTGCATTTTATTATCATGGTGCACATTTTCAAAACTTTTAAGGGAATATACTAAACTTTGCTTTGCATACCTGAAATCCTAGCCATCTCTGCTCAGGCTGAGGGCTGATTTCTCCTGCAAAAGTCCTCTATTACTGTCTCAGGTGACTAAGAATCTCTTCAGGGACACTGCCCTTACCAACATGTTATTGGAAAGTCTCTATACTTGACATCAAGAACCCTGAGGCTGGTGCTTGTTCCCTCCAAAGCTGGCTGATTTTCCACGACTCTCTCTGAGGCTCATTTTTGTTGCTGTTGTTGTTTTGTTTGTTTGTTTGTTTGTTTTGTTTTGTTTTTTGGTGAACAGCTCACAGCACTGCACAGTCTGACTTTTTTTTTTTTTTTTTTCTTTCAGCAATGTAACTTTAACTTCTCGGTTTATTATAAAGAAATAATTTGACCTGAATTGCTGTCCCCACCTCTAAAGAAAGACATACATGTTACATTTACACTCCGCATCATGGCTGGGATAAAGAGAAAGTATAAAGACTGTCTCAGCTTTTGAGAAGAATCCAGTGTTTGGGCAATCAGAAGAACAACTCTAAGAGTGCTAACCTTGAATTTTTGTTCATCTACATGTAGGACAGACAATAAAACTAATGCACTAAAACTTAAGACCAATTCACCTAAAGGTAATAAGCTTCTCCCCCGACCCCCCAACCCCTGCCCCCTGCCCTCCTGTGTGTCCCTGCAGGTGGAAGCATTCAGGTAAATGTGCAGACCAGAGATCAAATTCAAGTGCCATTCTCAGAAGCCATCCACTGTCTTCTGAGAAGACAGACTGGCCTGGAACTTGCCAACTAGGAGAGACCATGCAGTCAGAGAGCCCCGAGGATCCACAGATCTAGCCTCTCCTCTGCCCGGAATTACTGGCTGTTACCTCCATGCCCAGTTTATACATGGGTTTTGGGAATGCAGACCCTCCTACTTACATGGCCTATACTTTACAGAAGGAGCCATCTCTTTAGTCCCAACAGATGCCTTCAGTGTTAATCATATTCGACAAGAGTGGTGAAGAGAATCTAGGGCACCCTGTGTAGTTATGGTAGATGGCAAATACTAAATGCCTAAGTACAATCTTTTTTTTTTTTTTTTTTTTTTTTTTTTTTTGAGACAGGGTTTCTCTGTCTAGAACTCTGTCATAGAACTCACTCTATAGACCAGGCTGGCCTAAAACTCCCAGAGATCCACCTGGCTTAGCCTCCAGAGGGCTGGGATTAAAGGTGTGCACCACCACTACCCCCACCACCCAGATTATCTTTTCCTAGTACAATCTTGTCTGTGTTAGGGATGGAATCCAGGAGTTTAAACATGCTAGCCAAACCTCAACGGCTGAGCCATATTCCAGCCATCCCTAACTCACAGTTTGATGGCAGAACCTTGGTCTAGGTTTATGAAAATACTGAGTCAAACCAGGATCCCGAAGAAAAGATTCTTTAAAAGGCCAGAAAACTATATAGTAAGACACTTGATACAATCAAAATAAAGATTAAGGCATTTGAGGAGATCAACATTTTAAAACCATGTCTATATGATAGCCACCACCAATCTTTTGCTGAGAGACTTTTTTTTTTGGTGGTGGTGGGGGGGAGTAGAGGATACAACTAAGCTTTAAAAATACAGAATGGTAACATCTTATTTTGACTCCCAAATATATCAAAATTTCTACCAGGCATTAGAGACAGAAGTGTAAACCACAAAGACACCAACCGTTACACTGCATGCCTGGAGGATAGCTAAGTCTCACTTTCGGGTGCCTTCCATGTTCGAGTCGAGTGCCTATGACACACATCCACAGCCCTTCATCTTCTGGCACAATCTTACTATCTAATTCAGGGTGGTCTGGGACTCAAAACCCTCCTCCTCTGACTCCCAATCCTAAGATTAGAGATGTGTGCCACAGGGCTTGGCATCACTACTTTTCAAGTCAACCACCGGCAATGTTTCTTGTCAAGTGAAGTCATTTATGTTGTACCAGCTTTGTTACAAAAATGCAGTTTCACATAATTCAGGCTCCCTTCTTGTGGATAATGAATGCAGTATTCGATCTTGTTTGTGCTTTATAGCAACTGTCAATCTTGGCATGTTTGTTACCCAGCACTCCTTTTCAGAGTCTTACTAGTAAACTAGTTGATGCTGGTATCTCCGGGTTACCGCCAAGGGATAGACAGACACCCTTTTGCCCTAGCTGGTCACAGGCCCATCTTTCACAGCAAACTTGAGGATGCTGAGAGCCCTCAAGCCACGAGTCTTTGCAAAGTTTAAAGGGTGCTCGCAGAGAGCTTGTGTCTCAGTAAGTAGAACAAAAAGTTTCTAGGACAGGAACATTAAACTTCAGTCTGCCGGATGTGTCACAAGGAGGGAGCCCATGCTACAATCTACCTAGGGCAAAACACTCAACTCACTGGAATGCATAAGGTCAAGGGCATATGTTGTAACAAACCCATTGAAGCCTTACGATGGGGAAAACACTGTGGCAAACACTGGGGCAAGTTTTAGAGAGCTCGTCAATGCTTACTTTGACACGTCATTCACTCATGCAGAAATGCTGAGGGTTTATATGCTGGAGCCCTTTAAGTGCACAGGCCAGCTCCACCGGGGGAAGCCCGGCTTTCGCTCTGGTAATGAGCTCCCGGTTGCCACCATGTGGTTCCTGTTACCACTACCTCTCATGAGAACATGTCCTCTGCTGGGCACTAATGCTGAGAGGGCTCTTCGAAAGTGGAGTGTTTCCTGGTGCAGGCAGAACTCCTCTGCAGTTGATACTATTACGGGCAACTACGCTAGTCACTGTATCAGGCTGTGCTTCACCTACAATATGGAACTACATGGCCAGCTCAGGAGCAGGATTGTTGAAGACAACGCTGTCCTTCCGGTTCTTATAGCAAGGCTTGTGCAATCAACTCGGGGACCGGTGATTTGCGTACAAGAGTGAGCAGACTCAGAAGCAAAAGGCTCAAGCTGATTCTGAAGCCTAAAGGCACCCAGCATGTAGAATATCAGATCATTTTTATAAGCAACACTGCAAATATTAGGGATACTTTATTTCTGGGTAATCCATCAAAAGACTAAGAAAAACAAAAGAGAGGAACTGCTGACCTTAGAGCTTCTAAAAGCAAATCCAGAAGGCAAGCATGCAGGTAGTCTATGAAAGCAGTGTAACGCCCCAGGGGCAGGGGCAGGGGCAGGGGCAGGGGCAGGGGCAGGGAGGAGGAGGGAATCAGCCTGAGTTTAAGGTCTTCAAAGGAAAAGCTGTTCTGGGAAGGGTTGCTGCTCCTCCTTGTGGCTGTCTAGAAACTTAGAAATGTTGTGTAAAAGCCTTGCTATGCTGAAATGTTAGGCTACCCAACCCACATTTTATCCCCGCCTCACATACATGTTTAAGGAAATAGATTGTGATAAATAATTTAACGCAGCTGAAGTTAAAGAAAAAGTACTTACTGTGGTAGAATCAAAAGAAAAGACATCCACAACAGGGGGAGAAGAACTCTGCAAATCCATTACCTCAAGTTTTGGATTTATCTGTGTGCACACAGAAAATAAATTAATGTGATATTTTCTATCGTAAAAAACCCACAAATACTAGTTGTAAAAAAAAATAGCACTTAATATATTCTAGAAATAAAGCATATATTTGTTGACATGCACACAACTATTGGCAAAATATGAATTCACTAAACCTACTTACTAGTGGACGTGATACTGACTATGTTGAACATAAGCCAGAACTAGTTCTTTTCACAATATAAAAGCAATGCAATTCACCTACAGAGGAATACTAAAGTAGAAGGACCCACCTCAAAAGATGCAGAAAAAAATCCTAGCCAGTACATTAAAAAGAAAAAAAAAAAAAAGAAAAGAAAAGAAAGAAAATGTTAAGATGTAAGAAGCAGAGGAAGGAATAAACTTATTTTAAAAATGGGTGATTACCTATTGGGAAATAAACAGAATCTACTGCTGTGTACTCGGCCCCTCTAAGAGGACCGAAGAACACTGCTAGCCCCAACCAGCACACGACCCAAATGGATTAAAATACAGACAGATCAAAAGATAGCATTGTAGTACTATAAAACTAAAGAAAATTCACCAGGAATTCATGGGAAAGCCTAGAACTTCTGTTGATGTTAAAGAAGTCTCAAGTAAACAGAAAGCTGTACCACAGACAGTTCAGAAGCAAGGTGCATTATAGATGGGAAATAAACACAGTAAGACACATTGGCTACACTAGCTAACAGACAGCGACCAACAGTTCTAAACACTGGCTAGGTACGTGGATCCCTGCTAGGAAGGGTAGGCAGGAAATAAATAGAACCCAAACGTGTTGTCCACACTGTAGACTATTCCAGAATGAACAGGTAAGATCTTTATTATAACCAGAGTCAGAGAATGACATTTGAAAAGCTGCAAAAGCAAACTACGAGGCAAGGTGTGAAAGCATCTGTGATGACACCTGATATGGGAGATCACAATGAGTATCATAAAATTAACACTTAGAAATGGAACAGAGGCGATATTATGGTATCCAACATAAAAGGGGCAGATATCTAAAATCTATACAAAAAGCTTATAGGCGGAAATGTAGAAAACGGAAAGCCCATGGAAAGCAATGTACATGAGCGAGGGCTAATGAGCTTCCGAAGAGGCTCTCGGCAGCATCACGCATGAGAAAAGTGGAAATTAAAAACCACCACTGGAAAAACTGGAGCGTTTGATCCGTCAGCAATGCCCAGCGCTTTGTAACAGCACGGACCGTGAACCACACTGTGGGGAAGCCGAGTCACTGACATCCACACAGCGGTGAACTATGAGCAGAACACAGCTCTGAACAACATACAAACGTGTCAGTTCATAGTATATGCACATCTCAAGGTTTTTATATGAAATGAAAAGGCTGCTAACAGAAAAAAACAAAACGAAACTCAATACGGTCCAGTTTACCCAAAAGTTCCTGGCCATTCAAAGCGAAACAATATTTAATTACAGAATTGGAAATATGTATGTAGTAAAAGTAGAGAAAAGGGAATGGTTTTCTGGACTAGCACTGAGGGAAGTTGTTTCTAAATTCAAAAGCCCCAAAACATCCCAAATAAAACCCACTCACCCTCAATACAAAGACGTGAACCAAGGACAATAAGGATGGCAGAACTTTCTAGCAAATCTACCAGCACGCAGCACACTTAGGGCCCAGAAGGAAACTCTAGCCGATTGCTCAGTGACAGGACATTTATGAAGGACATACAGCTTAACAGGACTTCTTCACACAAAAACAAAACCAAAAACTGTAGAAAACAAATCAGAGGGGCCTGGAGAGATGGCTCAGGGGTTAAGAGCAGGGACTGATCTTCCAGTGGACCCAGGTTCAATTCTCAGCACCCACATGACAGCTCACAACTGTCTGTAAGTCCAAGATCTGACACCCTCACACAGACATACAGGACATGCATGCAGGCAAACGCCAATGCACATTAAAAAACAAAACAAGTCAGAGAGACAGAGTGAAATAAAGAGCCTCCCAGGCCTGGCAGAGCCTAGGCCAGGTACCAAGTGTAAAAGCTCAGGGTAGGAGAAAAGACAGAGTCAGACTAAAGTTTGACAAAGGCCAAATCACAGAGTGGAGAAATCTGGGAAGACCACGAGGTTGGAGCCTAAGTGTTTTAGAGAGACCCACCTGGGAGAGACAGACACTACTCTAACTGTAGGCTGAGAGCCCACACAAAATAGCCCAGTGGTGGCAGCACACACCTTTAATCCCAGCACTTGGGAGGTGAGGCAGGGGGATCTCAGTGAGTTCAAGGCCAGCCTGGTCCACAAAGTGAGTTCCAGGACAGCCAGGGCTTCACAGAGAAACCCTGTCTCAAATAGCAAAAAAGAAAAGAAAGATCAGAATGACTTTTAAAGTACCCAGGCTTGATGGGCACAGCTGCAGTGGTAATTACTTCATTTGACTCATATATGTGTGTGCCAGCGCATGCACACTTACACATGCGAGTACACCACGCTACATGTGTTACAGGCTTAAGGACAACTTGTGAGAGCTGGTTCTTTGCTTCTACCGTGTGGGTCCCAGTGACTGGACTCAGGATGGCAGGCTGGGCTGCAAGTCCTGTTACCCGCTGAGCCAACTTGCTCGCCTGGTTTTGTTCCAGGGGGCTGACCCACCCTGGCTGTGCATCACAGCTGGCTTTCCTGTGTCTCCCAAGTGTTGTGATTATAGGCACGTGTGTTGCTATGCTCACTCCCATAACTGTAGTTTTAGGGATGTTAGCTATAGCTTCTAATTATCCAGGCCACCGGGGTATAGTGGAGGTGCATGGCTGGAGTTCAGCAGGGATACATTTGAGTACGAGAAAGATGGAGGAAGACTGGCTCAGTCCACCAATGCCTCTTCCTCCTCCCAGCTGTTCCTCAGCAGAAAACAAACTAAGCTCCTCCGCACCCATCCATCTCTGAGAAGAGACACCTGGCTGACTTCATTCTTTTTAATCGAAGGTGAGCTAGCCAGAGATACTTTACTCCTTCCTCTACTGCCACCTAGTGTTGCGATAAAAAACGGTCAACGAGTTAGTTTCCTCTTCTGCAATAGAAAATACTCAGGAAGTTAAGTTAGGAGGAAAGAGGAGCCACCTCCTGAAGGAAAAGAAAAAAAAAAAAAAAAACCCTTTGGAATGTATGTAATTACTAGCATTTTACTACAAGTTAGCAAAAACTGCTGCCACATAAAATCAAGTTGTCTTGAAATGGGTGGAATTGTGCGGCTGGCTTCTCATTGGCTGAACGGGGGGCGGGGGACAACTGTGTAGTCCCTACACACCTGCTCTGAGGGTCTGCATCATGGAGGAGTCCAAGAGCATCAGCACCTGTGCTAATGCAATCGGTAATGTTTCCCTAGACTAGTTCCTACAGGGCAAGGAACAGGTCTTAGGACCTCCGCACAGAGACGTCATCAGTGTCTGCTGATAGGGCCAGCTTTGAACTTGTGTTAAACCAAAGCATGGCAACAGATGGGTAAAGATGCACAATGAGCCACAGTGCCAGGGTCACAACGCCACACTGCCTGCCAGCTGCTAGCTAGCTTCAACTCAGACTCTCTCCAATTCTCACGTGGACAAAAACATTACTGACTTCCAGTATTTCTATTCGTAGCCATATGAAATAATTTATGTAAAGACACAGAAAAGCACTGTATAGGCATTAAGTATTCTTCTTTTGTAAAATTGTGCATGTTATGTCTGTGTGAGGGTGTCAGATCCCTTGGGGTGGGAGTTACAGACAGTTGTGAACTGTCATGTGGATGCTAGGAATTGAACCCAGGTCCTCTGGAGGGGGGAGGGTCAGTGCTTTTAACCTCTGAGCTAACTCTCCAGCCCCCAGGCTTTAGGTATCCTTATTACTATTATTGTGTACTATGATGTAGACCCCTCAGGAGATGTACTGAGGTTAAAGCAGTATAAGCACATACTTCAGGTAGAATTAAAATACAGAACTAGCAGATAGGCAACCATATTTCCATCCTCAATGGTAAAATTCCTAACCTTATTAAGGTAAAAATATGACCTAACCTTATTAAGCAGATGATGCTAAAAATCTGACTTAAGACTTGAAGGTTGATATTGATCACAACAGAAATTTCAACAATGAGTCATGATCGGACTATCAAAAACTATTTAGTTAAATAAAAGGGAATGTCTTGTCCTGCTAAGTAAACATGTTGAATTTCATATGCAATTTATAGATGATGGTAATATTCAAATGGCCATTTTGAAGTTGAAAGCATTCAAGATAATTATCTGATTAGTAATTTTGACTTAAGTACTACGCCTTCTAATAGTCTGCCAAGTTTAGAATAACTACTTGATCCCCTAGTTTCACATGGACATGTCCCTTAGAATGCTTTCTGCTTTTTCCCTTAAGTTCTCAAAAGGGGAGAAGACTACAAAGGGCAGTGTTGTACAAATGTAATATCTCAATCACTCTTTGAGGGCGAAGTTCTTTTTGTCTGTTTTGTTTGCTTGGTTTTTCTTCCTGGAGTAGTACAGGGCAGATGTCTCTCGTGGCAGCTGACCACGTTGCCATGAACTAGAAATGTGTACGGGCTAGGTGAAGACCCCCATGTAAAAACTGTTTTCCCAACGCTGTTTTCATGTTTAATTTTAATTACGGCAGACTGCTGCAACACCATGTGTATCAGTAGGTTAGAGAGGGACACATAAGGGGTACCCACACAGCAAAGCTTCTACGCTCCATGCCTTCTTGCGTGTGGCTCCCTCTAGTGTCTTCTCAGAGCAGTTTGGCTGTCACCCCTCTGTCCATGTAAGGATTAGTAGATTACACATCCGAGACTCATACCAATGGAGCCACTAAAGCTGGTATGCTTGTGGGCTTTGCAAAGACCACATAACTTCATGCAGAATGTGAAGAAAACATATTAAAATATAAATCACAGGGGATTGGTACTGTTCCAAACTCAAAGATTAAACACTCATCACTACTGAAAGAAATTACTTCAATACTTTTTGTTAAAAACAATAATTTTATATATTTTTAAAATTCTGAACACTCAGAATGTTTTCAGCTTTAAAGTATTACTGAAGTAATGTAACTGCACCTTCCTAAAGCTTTGAAAGAAATTTTAACCTAGAGCATTAAGTATTTTCAAACAACTTATCATTAGTAAGCATAGCAATTCTTTCCTTATCTATGCTACATTTATATGAAAGTTTTAGTTTTAAATTAAACAGGTGTCTACATCCATTAATTTGAAGATTTTAAAAATAACTTGATAGTTGGGTGTGGTGGTGTACATCTTTAATCCCAGCACTCAGGAGGCACAGGTAGGTGGATCTCTGTGAGTTTGAGGCCAGCCTCATCTACAGAGTGAGTTCCAGGACAGCCAGGACTGTTATACTGAGAAACCCTGTCTCAAAAACAAAACAAAACAAAACAAAACAAAACAAAAAAAAAACCCAAATAAAATAAAACAAACAAAAAACCACCTCAAAACCCTGATACCCAGTTATTGTTCTAACACTAAAACCTATACTTTCTAAAACAAACAAACAAAACCATTATACTTTGCTTTATTGTGAGCTTACTTTTAAAACGAGATGGCTGGCACTTCTCTGGCACAGCACAGGAGAGTGTTTTACAAAACTCAGTCATGCTAGACAGTTAACTCAAACAGCTATGACACCTCCAGGCAATTGAAACTGGGTACCCGCAGCCAGCTTCCTCTGGACCACATAAACTGTTGACATATTCTCTGCATGATGTGCTGGGCAACTGGCCTCTAGTTCCATAATGAAAGAACAGCTTTTAATAGGCATGTAAGTGCACGTGTGGGAAGCAGTCTGGGTCATCCTGACCGTATCACACAAAGGAGCCTGCCTGGTTGGTTTCAGGGCTCTCGACCAAAGAGTCAGAATAAGCTGCTCAGTCAACCTGTTGACATTTTAAAGTCTAGCTCTCTTACGTGGACGGGGCCGGACAGCAGACCACAGAGCAAACAGCTTGTTTTTGCCTGGGCCTGTAGAGGCTGATGCCAGGGAACTACTACTGGGCTGGGAACACGTAGCTCTACCACACATCACTTGGGTGGGTACCACATAAGTGACACGGCCAGGGGTTTCTTTATCCTGATCAAGCCTAGCAAAGCCCAGCCAAGCCATAGAAATGCTAAAGTAAAGGCCACCAAGGGCCAACAGACTAGCTTTTAACACAAGAAAAATACACTCAAGGAAAATGTATGTATCTCCATATTTATTTAATGTTCTATGTGGTCACAGAAAGCCAACCCATATACTTAACAACTGTAATGCCTGAGGGGTTAAGATCACATTCTTGAGCTACAGAGATGGCTCAGTGGTTAGGAGCACTGGCTGCTCTTCCAGAGGACCTGGGTTCAATTCCCAGCACCCACATAGCAGCTCTCAACCACTTTTAACTCCAGTTCTAGGGTATCTGACGCCCTCTTCTGGCTTCTAAGGGCACTGCATATACATGGCACACACATACATGCAGGCAAACACCCACACACACGAAATAAGAACAAATAATTCTTTTGAAAAATTATATTCTTTTGTTCAAAGAATGAAAGAAAAAATGGGGGCTAGGAAGGTAGCTCTGTGGTGAATCACTTGTAGCATGTTAGTGGCCTTGAATTGGATCTACAGCATCAAACACACAGATACATACACACAAGAGTGCACACACACACACACACACACAAATGACAAAGTATGAACATGTAATAAAGCACAGTGATTAATACTCAGAATATTGTTCAAACGGATAAAAATTACAGAAAATAATTGAAAAGTTAACACTGCCAATAAAAAGTAACAGCAGAAACTCCCAAATACAGCTGGATTACACAAAACTGAAGATGGAGTCTCCTGGGTGTGATGGTAAACACATGGAAGTCTCAGCACTTGGGGATAAGGGATTCCAGGTCAGTCTGAGCTAGCATTGAGACCCCTGTCCCGAAACAAGCAAAGAAGAAAACCCAGGGTATAGGTGTGCCGGCATCGAGTGAGCGTAGCGGAAAGGCCTGAGGACGGTAAGGAAGCCCGATCTAAAGAAGCCACTGAGAAGTGACTCCAAGAGCTATTCCCATTAGTACACACTACTGTACACCCATAGTTTTATTTTAGTAGTGAAAACAGAGTTTCTCAAAGCTCTGCTGTTTGGGGTTTTATATAAATCAGTATAATTTTAAGCATAAGGTTCATATTCAGTACCAGCCCTGCAATGATGGTAAAATATAGGACAGATGAGCACAGCATACTCACTTCAATAATCTCCTTTTTCTCTTCATGGGGATGCGGTGATCGAGGGTAGATGTCGAGAAGGTGTGGTGAGGACTCAAAATGCAATCTTTTGAGGTTTCTTTTATTAGGGTCTTTACAGTGCAATTGATTAAAGTTAGTCCTCCATAACAAGACCTACAGAGAGTCAACGGTGTTGGTAGTTAATGGCCAGCATATGAAATCACAAGGTTAAACATCCAAAGTTGCTCTGAGCACTCAGCATTGTCTATGTGTAGAGATACACGTGTCTGTCACTGTTCTTCAGTATTTAAAGCATGGCAGGGAGGAGATTTAGCATTCTGAATTGCCTTCACGCCCAACTTAAATTTCTACTTTGAGCTGGGTGTGCAGAGTATGCACTTGGGTCAAGCAGTGAAATACAGTGAGACCCTGCCTCAAAAATACTACCCAGACCCAAAGCTAACCTAAACCAAACCAAACCAAATCCTTGCTGAGGTAATATTTTATACACTTAAAACATTTCTCTCTGACCCTCACCAAAAGCCCCACACCCTGCTTTTGACATGACCACTCGCTCATTTTGTTCAATAACCTGGCTATGAATGACTTGTGGTCATCTCATGTAAATGTAGAGTTGCCGTGTCAATGATTTCAATTTATAGCCCTCAGGCAGCTCAACAAGTACAGACAAGATCTTAGGCAGTAACTTGAGTAAAAGGGCAATGAAACTAGGCATTCTGTGGCAACTAAAGGTACTAAGTATAAAATAGAGCAAGAGGAAATACCTGCAGAATTCCTGGAACTATTTCAGCTATGTGACAGCAAACCCAACACTAAGTTAACATAAACCCACTGGTCATCACCTCAACATATACAGGCTACCTAGTGATGAGCGTGCTAAAGACATCAAAGATCTCTTCATGTAAATCAGGTCCTTCCATCCAAATCAAAGATGTACAAACCTGGGCATCTGCACCTCCTGATGTGAACAGTTCTCCATCCTTTGAAAATGTAACAGTAGAGACAGGACCCTAAGAGACAAAGGAAAATGTAACAGTTAAGATAGGACCCTAAGAGACAAAGCAAAATGTAACAGTAAAGACGTAACAGTAAACACAGGACTCTAAGAGACAAAGGAAAATGTAACAGTAAAGACAGGACCCTAAGAGACAAAGGGAAGGGGAGAAATGAGAGCCAACAGGACTGACTGCCACTTCTGCTTTCTAAATTGTCACACAGTGACTAGTGTCTGATGGACACATTCAGCAGCTAACAATGAGTCCAAGTAAAGAACCAACCCAAGCATGTCAGAAACAAGTGATAATAAGCAAAAGAAGGAATGGCTTTTTCTCCTTTGAAGAAAAGCTGGCACATGCATAAGCTGGTAAGAATTTCTCTTAAACTTGTTTCTGGCTTTCTGGTTTGTATTTAACCAATTACTAAAAAAAAACTAAACAACAGATTTGACGTGATGGCACGTAAATACAGGCCATTTCTTGCCCTCAACGGCTCCACTGGGGACCTCTTGTGAAGCAGGTTACAGGGAGCCAGGCCCCAGGAGGAGAGCAGTAAAAGTCAGCAGTACAACCACAAGGGTGAGCAGTGGGGAGGTTACTGAAAGTATCTACGGAGAGACAATAAGCACTTAGAAATGGAAAATTCCTGTGACATCTGCACCTTGCATGAGGTCAGCCCATCAAGATTGGAGGAATTATTTCTCACCTTGCAATATTAACATTTCTTTAATTTTTTTTTGTTTTTTTTTTTTTGTTTTTGTTTTGTTTTGTTTCTCAAGACAGGGTTTCTCTGTGTAGCTTTGGAGCCTGTCCTGGAACTAGTTCTGGCCTCAAACTCATAAATATCCACCTGGTTCTGCCTCCCGAGTGCTGGGATTAAAGGCGTGCGCCACCCACACCTGGCTTCGTTTGCTTAATTTTTAACAAACACTTTAACTAATATGCAAAGTTTTGGAAAGCCCATTTTGCTTTATTCACATATGCCCTGTGTTATGCATTGAATGTCCGTCTGGTGGTGCCGTCTAGGAGGTATGGAGTCTTCGGGAGGTGGAAGTACATGGCTATGGGTGTGTCTCGCAGTTGTATCACCAGGTCCCTCTTCATGTTCTCTCTCTTTCTGCTTCCAGACTAGCAAAGCAATGTGACAGGCTGACCTCGTGACTCTGCTGCCAGGGTAGACTGTTCCCCTTCAGGAACTGGAGTGGAGTGAGCTACTCTCTCTCACTTCAGTTGCCTGCCAGGGTTTCTTATCTCGGCAACAGGATAGTAACTAGGGTGCCCTGTTACAGACTCACAAACACCTCTACCTCTAGATGAAAATGTTACCTGTGTGCAGAGAGTTTTTCTCCTAAATGCTGTTCTGGCTTTTCCCTAATTATGTAGTATTACTTAGCCATTGTTAAGGTTGTATTTGTTTTCCCTGAATGCACGTGTCTCTATGGGACTGAGCCGGTTCTGCTTTGCTCTAACCCTGTTGTAGAACAAAAGACCAGAGCAGGAAGTTGGTTGGCTAGGACAGATCAGACAGGAAGAAGCTTTCTCTTCTAGACCAGAAAGTCCATTCTATACCTTAGAGCTTATATTCACCTAAGGCAGAAGACAAAGACTTTGTTCTAAAAAGTTTACACGTTTGAATATTTTTCCATAAGACTTAATGGACTTAGAAAGTATCAACGTTTTATAAACCAATTGAGAAATAAGACAAAAGAATAAGGACTACCAGAGCCAAGACATCAGCTTCCTCTCCAGTAAGTTTGTTAAAAGCAAACTATTGCCTATCTGGAAGGCAAGTGGGCGTTCTAGAAACAATATTCATAATGAGCCAGGTGTGATGGCCTAGTGACAGGTGACACTGGATAATGACACGTCTTTGTACAAGAATTATCAGTGGAGAACAGTGGGGGCAGGCTTCCCAGTCAAGCGCGGGGAGCAGAAGGTGTTAGGCTCTGATAGCTGAATTTCTCCTAAACTCACCAATAGGACAGAAGAGGGAGGATGGGGAGATGAGAAGCTCAGGGTCAGAGCTAGTGGACTAGCATCCTCTGCATCGTATCCACAGTGTGTGCGCGTGCGCGTGTTACTCCATCTAAGCAGTATAGCCTGTGCTACACACTGACAGAGAAGTAGTATTTACTAACGAATGGCTAAAGTCTCTCATTTGAAAAGTTGCAATAAGTATTATTTTTGGGCGGGTTTTCCAAGACAATATTATTTTTAGGAGTTGCTTCTAGAGATTAAAAAGTTAGAAGTATGCCAGGCAGTAGTGGCACATACCTTTAATCCCAGCACTTGGGAGACAGGTAGATCTCTGTGAGTTCGAGGCCAGTCTGGTCTACAGAGTGAGTTCCAGAACAGCTAGAGCTACACACAGAAACCCTGTCTCAAAAACAAACAAAACTGAAACCTAAACCCAAACCAAATCAAAAACCTCTGAAACTTAAAAGTAAAAAATCAAATCCTAGGAGTAGCAGCAAATGTACATTAGTACTAAAAAAATAATAACTTAGTGTTGATACCGTATGTCCTTGGAGTGTGTATATGAGTCTTCCCTCCACGAGGTCCAGAATCTTGAGTGTTCCATCAGAGGAGGCTGTGACCAGGCTGTTACCCAAAGGGTGGAATGACAGACAGTTCACACCGCAGCTGTGAACTAATAAACACAAAAAATTCAGGAAACAGTGGTTTCTTTATGATATCTTTGACATCATGACTGTAATTTGATATAACTGGCTTCTCTATGACCCTGTTAATCTTTTTCGGAGAATGATTTTTAATTTCGGAGCATTTCCAAACTGCTTGGTTTGCAGCATTACTGTGAAAACAACCAGCCAGAGGCAGCGTCTCGGCCACAGCAACATCACAGCTCACTGAAGCGAGTTAAGTATCCTGACTTCACGTGGCATGAAGCTTCCAGTTAATGAGAATGAATCGCTTCAGAAAGGAGAGCATGTCACACAAAGAGAGCCTTATTGGGTAAAATCTTTAGCCATATTACCAAAGTAACTAACAGCTGACTTTAACAGCTCATATAGGCTCCCTAAATCAGCCTCAGATTAAATGTAAAGAGCAGTTGGGGGTTTGGGATTAGGGAGTGGCGAGTGTGGAGGTGAGTGTGAGGGATAGCCCTTCACTCAAGTATGAGAATTCACGTCTGGACACAGTCCTTCCACTAGGGGGCAATATAATACGATGATCAAAAAGCATGAGAATTCATGTCTGGACACCGTCCTTCCACTAGGAGGCAGTATATAATATGATGGTCCAAAAAAAAAAAAAAAAAAAAAAAAAAAACACGTTTTCCTATACACGATGTTGTCCCACAGTCTTAACTTTATTTCCATCAATTTTCTTACCCTTAAAACGAAAGAAGTAATGATGCCTATTAGGAATAATGTCAGGGTTTGCTTGTTTATATGCTACACAGAAATCATGGCATAAACAAGTGGCAGGTATTATTTCCATGCACAACGATGTGGCTTTAGTATATGGCTAATAGAAACCTAGAAGGCCATCCCCTCTCTTTCCAATTTAGTACACCCACACAGAAGGAAGCTGTTTCCTCCAAGTCAGTTATTCCCATTCATTTGGATTACATCACTTACAGACTCTCCCACAGTGAGACAAGCAGAGCCTGAAAACAACCACAGTAACTTCATTTTTACAGTCCCGGGTTAGTTTTAAAGTCCCTTTATCTCCTCTTCCCAATGTGGCACCTCGGTATTCATCTCTTTAATTGGCACACTGGAGATGTGTGGCCTAGCCAAACTTTTAGAGTTGCTAGGACTAACACTCCTGCCCTAAAAGCTCTGGTGACAGCTCTGTCAAGCTGAACCATGATCCATCAACGACACCTTTTCAGCATCAGCCACTCAAGCAAGTGCAGCCTGGATGGAGAAGACAGATGCCTGGATGGAGAGGACAGACTGGTGATCGCACACAGCAGCTGGAATCACTTTTACTCCAGGAACTTTCCTTATCTCTCACTTTGGCTTTCTGCTTGGATTTGGCGAGGTGGAGAAGGGAGTGGATGGACTCTTGAAGCCCTGAATGCTGACCTTTAAGCTCTCCCATCAATGCACCTTAGCCCTGCCCTTTCTCCTCCCTGTCAGTCTGGAGGCTTTTCTGAGCGACTGGGTTCCTTCTCTGTACTAGTTTGAAGCTCTGCAGTCCCTTGCCTTCTGAGCCACTATGGAGTCTTTAAACCACTTGGGAATTTTCCACTGTGATAGGGATAGTTAAGTTCTATAATTCTGTGTTGGTAACTAGTAGAGAGTGGATATAAGGTATGCCGAGAAATAGCAATGTTTGGGAGATCTTTTTTTTTTCCCCACAGACAAGTATAAATTTATTTAGATACTTTTTTCCTTTTTTTAAAATTTAATGTATTGTTTTGCATGTCGATTCCAGTTCCTCTCTCTCCCTCCCTCCCTCCCTTTTCTCCTCTCTGCCCTCTCTTCAAATGACCTGTCAGATCTACATGACCCCACCAGGATGGCATTGCCCTACATATGGAATTGGGGTGGGGGGATGGGAGGGGAGGGTGGTCTGGGAGATCTTTATATAGTTTGTACAAGCATGGGAATTGAAGTCTGTGCTATCCTGGAACCCCTGGGAAGTATTCTCACTTGTTCTGTGTAGCTCTTTGGTGGCTTATCTGAGATTGCAACGTGAATCATATAAGCTGTTTTCGTGAGCAATACTATTTTTACTCTTTTAGAGTCTATAATAATTGGCTTAATGAAAACTGGATGGCTATAGCAACCATCCAGTTGGAAACTGATTGAACAGAAGAGACGAATGCCTGTTCTGGGTGACTATCGTCTTGATGGGGTGTCAGGCCATGTGCTGCACTGAGGTCTCAAGGGAACCACAAAGCACATTCTGTACTTGGAAGGATCCCAACAGGTTCAGCCAAGAGGTGCTCACTTTGAACTACTCCTTGTTGTTGGGGCTTCCTGAGACATGTCAGAGGGGCTAGCTGTCCCATTGGTGACATTCTAAGAAGGAATCACTATTAAACATTACATCTTACTGTCCCCAAACTCTTGCTCAGTATTTGGACTTGCTTTGGCTTCCAAGATGAGCCACTAGTCAAAAGACTAAGAAAACAGGGACAAAAAAAAAAAAAAAAAACCATACACTAAAATTGCCATTCTTGGCATGTCTAATTTGAAATGTATAAAAGAGAATGTAGAGAATGTTTCTGGGTGATTTTTAGACTACATAAGTAAATAGTAATTGCTGCCTTGTCTGTCTGCCAGCTTACCCCCCCCCCAATTTCTCTACTTTGCTGATACCATTTTGTTCTGTTATTTTGAAAGGAAAATAAAGTAGCTTTTCAAGATCTTTTATTAGTGAGGCCTGACATGTAAGCATTTAAGAGTTAAAAGTAGATGTTGGAATTGAAGGAAGAGAGGGAAAGGTCATTTAAAAACCAAGCTGTTAACACCTGCTTAGATAAGGCTTGAAGGGTGAATTTTAATTTAGTTTTGTTAAGTAGATAATCTTAATTTGTTTCATTCTGTCATAAACCCAATTTGAATTCATTTGTAGTATATTTGGGCTATTAACAAATGTGTTTTTATAAATTGCCAGTGTTTAGAGAAGGAGATTAAGATTGCTTTTTTCTGGAATTTTTGCTGAAAGATTATTTAAAAGTAAATTTATAATTAATACATGGAATTCTATATCCAGGAAATATGAACACATTTAAGCCATATAGATGAAAAACCTATTAAAAGGCATAAGGTATTTTATTTTATTAAGAAATAATTTTTGGACTGGAAATGTAGTAGAGTTGCAAGGCCCTCAGCTTATTTCTCAGTATTCAAAAAAACTACAGTTTCCATGACAAGATTTTTCTCTCTCATCTCTCTCTTGTTTTTGCTTTGTTTTGTTTTTGGTTTATCTTTTCAATTTAGTTTTGATTTGGGGGGCAGAATTTGCAAGGGCTGAGGTGGATGCAAGGGACACAGAGGATATGAATGCATGATGTGAAATCCATAAAGAATAAAGCTTAATAAAAGAAAACAAACAAACAAACAAAAAAACCAATTGCCTAGCTTCAAAAAGCTTTTGGAAAAGGTGTTTCAAAATATAGACTTGTCTACAGGATCTTCTAAGGTCAAAAGTTAATGCATGTTGCAAGAACAGAACCTAACTCTTTATGTCTAAAACAGTAAGACTTTAGAAAGATTATTGCTCTGCTCTTAGTAACTCATACAAAAAAGAGTCGTCATTAAGAACACAGATGCACCTCTGTGAACACAGAGACCATGCTGTCTGTTGATGGTAAGGGCTTTTGACTCAGTCTTAGCAACGCCAAGGTCCACTCAAGTATCTGTTGAGATTAGAGCCCTCAAAGCAATCGATCACCTTAGAAATAACTAATATTTAAATGACATTCTATTACATTTAGTACTTTATATGTCTATGTCTGGAAATAAGAGTGTATCTCTGAATTTCATCTACCTATTATGTGAATAATGCCGACTTAAAACCACACTAGTACCTTCAAAGTTACCAGTAAGTGTTCCTTTAAATATTAATCTGTTTGGCTTGAGCGAGTAAGCATCTTGGTCTTTGATTATGAGATGCACATGTGAATGTAAGTCTGTGTCACTAGTTCTGGGGCCTAAATTTGTAAGCAACCTAAAATTGTACTTTTTGCCTGTTATCTTACTAAATCAAGAATTCCAAACTTTTGCTTCATAAATAAGAGATAAACTTATATTCATGAAATGTGTGGCTCTGGCACTAGTGGCTAATGGGCTCCTTGGTAGGTTGAATGTATTTATGTTTCTCAAATGTATAAGCTTTCTGGAGCGTAAATCTTGAGAGTTGGTGTCGTCTTAGCTAGAACTGTGTTATGTGTGTTCTCTGGGCCAGGCCAGAGGCTGACTTCAGACAGTCAGTCTTCTTTTATCACCCTCCACATTATTTTTTGAGAGATGTTTTCCTCGGAATCTGTGGCTCATCATTTTGGCTGGACGGGATGGACAGCAAATTCCCGGGATTTCCATCTCTGGCCACGCAGTGGGGTTGTGTGTGTGTGTTGCTGCACTGGGTGTCTATGAGTCCTGGGGACCTGAACTCAGGTCCTCACACTTGCACAGAAAACACTTTACCCACTAAGGCATCTCCTCTACTCTCTCTAGAGCTGCTAGTGGTACTAATCTTTCCCAGGCTTGTATTTCCGAGTTCCCCGCTTGTATCTTGACAATTATTTCTAAGCAAAGTTAACTAGAATGCCTCACATAATGTCCTCCAAGCTTACTTCCCTAGTCTTTAACAGCACGGACAACGGGCACCTAAGGGGGACTGCTATGGGACAATCTTTGTACTCTGTAAATGTGTAGTACTCTCATTGGGTAATAAAGAGATGACTGGCCTATAGCAGGGCAGGGAGAGATTAGGCCGGTGAGCCAGACCAGGAGGACACTGGGAAGAAAGGCAGAGTCTCAGGAGACAAGGGAGCAGGACCAGAAGTACATACATGTGGTAAACGAGGCTTGGGGCAGCACATAGACTAATAGCTACAAATAAGCCTGAGCTATTGGCTGAGCACTTGCAAATAATATTAAGTCTCTTGTGTTTGTTTGAGAGCCACTACAGAAAAATGCCACCTACAGGGGACATCTCCAAAGAAGTCCATTTACTGTATTTAGAAAATCTTTGTTTATTCTTAGAAGGCAAAATGACTTCTATGTATATGTTTTTCAGGGTCATTTGTTATCAGGTAATCAATTAGTGTGCTATTCCCTAGGGAAGACCATTTCTTTTCTTCTCACATTCCTTAGTTGCCTGTAGTTCTTTGTCTAGGGTGGGGGCCTCTCGAGCTCTCTCTTTCCATGTCAGCTTGTCTGTTGGGGTCATCCCTGTCAGCTCCTGAGACTTCATGAGTGTGGCTTCTGACATATTTAGGAGACACATATCACAGCAACTCCCCGTTCTCTGACTCTTCGAAAAATCTCTCCACTTCCTCTTCTGCAATGATCCCTGACCCTTAGGTGGAGGGGTTGTATTGTATACATACAAGCAACATGTACAGACTCATAGGTTGTAGTTATGATTTTAGGAACACACACACACACATACACGTTTAATAATGATTAGAGAAAAAGAGACAATGGTTTGAAAAAATTGGGGGAGGGGTGGGATGGGACAGGTGAGGTGGGGGGTAGAGATGTCATGGGGAAGTTTGGGCTTGGAGGCAGGAAAGGGGGGGATAATATAATTTTATTATAATCACAAAAATTAAAAAAAAACTCCCAAAAAAGACAAAATTAAACAGGACTTTTAATATATACAATTAGCCTGTTACTGATAAATTATACCATTCTTTTAGTGGACACAAATTTAAATGTATTTCTGAGAAGAGAATTAGGACAGCTTAATGGTTATAACTCTGTCAACTGCAATACTGGATGCAATGAGATTATCAAGGCCATTTTGTCAATTGTTTAGCTTCCTTTTTTTATAAAAAAAAAAGACTTAATTTAAAATTGTATGTGTTAAGTGTTAATCTGTGCACGTATGTAAGTGCACTGTGTGTGTACCTGATGCCCAGAGGCCAGGGGAGGAAACTAGATCCCTTGAAACTGGAGTTCTAGGCAACTGTGGGTGCTGGGAACTGAACCCATGTCTTTTACAAGATCAGCAAGCTCTTTTATCCACTGAGCCACAGCTCCAGGGTCAATCTACCCACTTCTTGTCATGTTCTAACATGAGTGTTCTAAGATTCTTGGCTCCCTCACTGTTGATCCTTGTCCAAAGCCCTTGGAATCAAACTCGGACAAAATGACCCAATGTGCAGTTAGTTTTGAATCCCATGTCTTTCAATATTTGCTCTTGTTGGTAGTGACTTCTATTTTCCTAGTAAATTTTTTTGACTGCTGTCTGCTAATATTCTGTATAAATACATCTTCTAACAAAATGACCTAAGCATTGTCAAGGTGTCAGGCTGTCACCCACAGGACAGGTAGAATTAAATTAAGATGGAATTCCAGCCTAAGGTTCTCCCATGTTTCTTATTGATTTGAATTTGGCTCCAAAGGGAAAGGGTGGCAATTAGGGAGTCTTTTGACACTGACCCGGTGTCATATTTCATCTCCCCTCCCCTACCTGACACAGGATCAGATCAGATCAATGGGGACAGCTCTTATCCCAGTGACTAGGGGCAGTTACCACTACATGATTAATCAGCCATGCCTTCAGAGAAAATTGTTCCTAGATAAATGGGGATGTCTTCAGAGTCAAACTGGTCACGCTAGGCATGGTGGGATCTACTTATAGTTGCAGCACTTAGGAGAACAAAGTAGGAGGCTCATGATTGGGGCCAGCCTAGGCTACATAGGAAGACTCTCTCTCAGAGTGGACAAGAGAAGTTACTTGTGTGAGTCCTTCCAAAAGCAACTAAGCCAAGGAAGCGTAGAGATTCAGTTCTTAAGCATGGTCACCCGACACCAACTCCCTCCCACTACGGTTCATTCTCAGTAGTCCATACTCAGAGCAATTAGCCAGGAAGATGCCTCCCTCTAGGTTTTATTTAATTGGATCTATTCTGGCTTTGGATGCTAGCATTCTATTTTCTGTGGGGATTTCCACTTTTAGACTTAAACATCTGGCTCATTTCACATGGATCCCCGGTCATTACAGCCTGTTCTCGTCTCAAGCACTGGTTTATCACTGAGCCAAGAAAACCTACAAAGCCAGACTGGCCAGACACACGAACTCCCTCAAGATTGAGCAACATCTAAACACAAGGGGAAGTGAAAAGGGGCAGAGAAGCTGCTCTTGCTAAAATGTCAACTCACGTGGGCCACAAGCAACTGAAAGCTTGGGATCCCGACCCTCACCTTAGCTATGGCTAAAAAGACCTACGTAAACACGTATATGTTGGGGACTATTATTTTCAGGTGTGTGACTTTTGTTTATGCTGCGTTTGTTTAACTCTATGAAGCTGGGTTACTGTGCCTGTCTAAAACACCTGGGGTCCTAATAAAGAGCTGAGCGGCCAATAGCAAGGCAGGAGCAAGGCTAGGCGGGGCTGGCAGGCAGAGAGGATGAACTGAAGGAGAAAGGAGGAAGAGGAGGAGTAGGAGAACAAGGAGAGGAGGACATCATGGGCCAGCCACTGAGCCACCCAGCCACTGAGCCACCCAGCCACTGAGCCACCCAGCCACCCAGCCACAGAGCCATCCAGCCACCCAGCCACCCAGCCATCCACAGAGTAAGAGTAAGATTTACAGAAGTATGGGATAATTAACATTAAGAAAGGCTGGCTAGAAACAAGCCAAGCTAAGGCCGGGCATATATAAGTAAGAATAAGCCTCAGTGTGTGATTCATTTGGGAGCTGGGTGGCGGCCCCCCCTCAAAAGAGAAAAACCATCATACAACACACACATGTCCTAAACTTGTAGTCGCCTTGGATCCCTGGAAAAACAAAACCTCTCAGAACAGATCCATCTCCCAGGGCAGAAAGGAAATGAATGTTGGAAGCAGATTTGTCCCACTTAGCAATGGAATTAGAAGGAGTCTCTCTGCCTCCTTGATAGATTCAGACATGGACACCCTGGCCGGGACTGCTTCAGACTGCATACCTCCTTGTGTCCTGCCTCACTTCCTCTGCCTAAGTAGGAAGCTCATGTCACTTATCCCAAGACAGACTTTCGGGTCGACTGCTCCTTTATCTGTTTCCCTCCCAACGTGGCCACACTGAATACGTTTTCTCTCTCTGGTTTTCATTAAAACGTAAAGTAAAATAAACACTGTTTGTACCTCTCTTCCTCGTCTTGTTTCTTGTGGGAGTCAACTACTCTGCTCTCTAGCCAGCTCAAGCGCGGCCTCTGACCCCTGTGTAGAGACCTAAAGCCTTTCCGGTAGCAGCCATTGGATAGTGAAACTTCTTTCTGGTTGGGGGAACCGTTACCTTGATAGTGCTGGAGTAACTTGTTCACTCTTATATCCCAGATTTTCACAGTGTGATCGGAACCTGCTGAAGCTATGCATGTACCATTAGGGCTAAAGTCCACAAAATTTGCAAATCTAGGGAGAAAGAACAGGATGGCTTGACATTTCAACTCCTTTACCCTCACTTTAAAGTCTGAGTTGTTGATAATAGAGTATCTCCTTAGCAAGCAGACCCGTACAAATGTACAAAGGGAATGGACTTACCCCACAGAATCCGAGAAGTTATTAACACACTGCTTACTTGCAGTATCCCAAATTTTAATAGTTTTATCCTCACTACACGACACGATTAATCTTCCTTCAGGTGAGAATCTAAAAAGAGGAAGATTTTCCATGTTAGCAATTCTGGGTAAACACCACCACACATCTCCATATGACACACAAGTCAGCTAAACAGGGTAGCAGGGGCCACTGTCGGCATACCACATGGGCTACACAGCAAACTTACACTTTGCAACCAGTATCGTTGCAACTACTTACACCATAGTAAACACCGGAGACCCTTGAAAGACCAAACATGTCACATAAACTAACCACATTCCTTTTCTGTTTGTTTGTATTCAGTGATTAATTCAGTTTTGTGGTGCTCCTGGAGGTTTCTGACTCAACTCTGCCCTCCTTTCAGGCTAAATACCCTGTATTTTAAAAGTACTCTTTTCTTATTTGTTTTTAATTTTCAATTTTCTACTTTTTTTTTCTACTCACCCCACCAAAGCTGGTAGTGAAGCTTTTGTTTAAAAAAAAAAAAAAAAAAAAAAAAGGCCCATCGGCTTCCTGGGCTCGGAACAGCAGCTTTGTCCTGCTCTAGCTGACGACCCCAGTGCCAGAGAGAGAGAGAAAGAGAGAGAGAGAGAGAGAAGACAGAGACACAGAGAGAGAGACCTTGTCTACCGCTCCTATACACTTTTCCACATTTATTCTTTATTTTGTAACAGTAATTGCCCTTTAAAGTCAGAAGAGCTGAAAAGCAAACAAAATGAAGTTTAGACAGGAAACTACAACAGCTTTCTTACTAGTGTATTGCAGCAGCGGCAAAGCTTGGAAAGGACAAAGTCATCTAGCACCCGGTGACTAAGTGCATTTATGTGTAGTTTTACTCCAGCCCAATGCCCAGACTTTCATTGAATTTTCAGCTTGGGTGTGGAATACAATTAAAGGTTTTATTTTGTTTTCTCTGCACTCCCAAACTCTCCCTTACATACATACATATAAAAATTTATATATAATTTATTTTTATTTAATGTTCATTGGTGTTTTGTCTACATATATGTCTGTGTGAGGATGCCAGAAGGGCTGAATTGGAGTTACAGACAGGTGTGAGCCTTCTTGTGGGTGCTGGGTATTGAACCCAGGTCCTCTGGGAGAGCAGCCAGTGCTGTTAACCACTGAGCCATCTTTCCAGCCCCCTAACTTATTCTTAAGAGAGACCTAGAAATGATGCATGACTGAAACTTTGAATCCTATACTTCTGATTTACCATGTAAAAAAGAAAATCATACACAAATATTGTTAAGCTCTGTGTGAAGCAATCTCTTAAAATGTATGAAAATAACCCTTCAAGGAAGAAAATCTTTAATTCCTAATTGTTTTCTATGATTTTAAAATGACATTATATAATATTTTACTAATTTTCCTCCAGAAAATACACAAGAAATACCCAAATATGGGGAACAATATTATTCAAATATTTAAAATAGAAAGCCTTATCTGACATGGACTTGGAAAGAAAAACTGACTCATTTAGCTTTCTGGAACTAAATTTTTCACAATAAATATAAACTAAGCAGGAATCAATCCAAATTGCCTTTTTCTCCTCCTTCTGTGAGACAAGATCTCACTATGTATCCTGGTTTCCCTGGAACTCTGTGTAGACCCAGGTGGTCTTGAACTCACAGACAGCCACCTGTCTCTGTCTCCAGAGTGCTGCAATTAATGGTGTGCCACCACACCCAGCTATTGTACTTCTTAATCAGCCTTATTTTTGAAAATTACTTCCTATGAAAATCTTAACAAAAGACATGAAGTTATTCCAAACATATTGAGGAAGTAATGCTAAAACATCTAATCAACTGGAATGATCCAACTGCAAATAATCCTATTATTATTGCTGTTGTTTTCATTGTGGTGGGGGTCACAATCTGAGCCCTGTGTATGGTAAGCAGGCACTCTTCCACTGAGCTATACTTTGATGACATTACTGATCAAACCTACCACCATCATTACCCTATCTAATCCATATTTATTGAGCCCATACATTACAGGATGGCATACTCTGGTACACTTCAGCTACAGAAACTAACTTAATATTCAGAACAATCATATAAAATAGATACTATTGCTTGTCTCCATGTGCAGAGAAGTAAACTGAGGCACACAAAGGAGTGTAATGGTTTGGATGATAATTTTCATATTTCAAATTTCAAAAATCAAATACACAGCCTCATGTTTTTGACCACGTGGTCCCCAGTAGGTGGTGCTGTTTAGGGATGCTCAGTAGGTGTGGCCTTATTGGAGGAAGTAGACCAATGACTTCAAGGACTCAGGCCATTTCCCATTGGACTTTTCTGTAAACTCTCTGTTTGCTGATCCAGGTGCCATAACTATTGCCTGCTACCATGGCCTTCCTGACATTGTGGACTCTTAACACTATATCTTTAAGTCCAAACAAAGTCTTTCTTCTTTTTTAATGATTTTATTGTTCTGCCTGCATGTATACCCCCATGCCAGAAGAGGGCACCAGATCTCATTATAGATGGTTGTGAGCCACCATGTGGTTGCTGGGAATTGAACTCAGGACTCCTGGAACCTCTGTTTTTTATTTTTAAATTACAGCAACATAAAAGTAATTAATATACAAGTTTGTACCAGGAATAAGGGTGTCTTTGTTCACAATGACCACATTGTTTATTGGAACCTGGCACTAGAAACGTGTTTGAATCTGTAAGCAGAGCCTAAAGGGCCATCCCCATGGAAGGCTTGCAGATAGCTGTGCTGAGGCCAATGCAGACTGTGGGGCCCAGCTCAGGAGGTCAGGGGAGACAAACAATATTAACAGTTAGCCTAGAGACTGTTCCTGTGATACCTGGTCATGAGACAGCGCCCCTAGGAGAAGAATTGGAAGAGGCCATTTGGTTTAGACTTGATCAAAATACATTACATGCATATAAGAAATTTCAAACAATAAAAATGAATAAAAGGAAAACTACACACACTGCCACTGGTTGCTATTAGCAATTACATAAAACAAGCATGGTCTCTGTGTGCTGTGTCTGAAGGGGCAGGATTATTCATGAGATACAGAGCACCTAGCAGCTCCCAGGGCTGGGTTGCTCTTGGCTGTAGGAATGGAGTTGGAAGTGAGGTAAGAGTTCTCTCTCTTGAAGTTATCACTAATGATATAATTATAGACATTGGCCTCAGGATATCTGAACAAAAAACAAACAAACAAACAACAAAGCCTGCTCTCCAGAAGCTCCAGGGAAGAAACGAGGTTCAAAGAAACTTGCCAGTAAGAAAAAGCAGGTTCTCTTCAATAGTGAAAGCCTACCCTAAGCAGGAGGCTCAGGCCTGGGAGGAACTTCTTGGTACTAACGGGAAGTAGGAGCTGTGGACCTCAGGTCAGCAGAAAGGGCAGGGGCAGCAGGGACGCAGATGCTGGGGAAAAGAGGGTCCAAAGCCCGGGAGCTCAGGCCTTCCCCTTCCTCTCACTTTAACTCCTACATGTCCCTCTTCTTTGAGAGGCTGGAAGTTGGCATGCTGTTTTGTACCTCCTTCTCGTCCTTGATTTTTAATTAGAGACATCAAAAATAAGTTAGCACCCAAAAGACAGGTTTCTACTTGTCCTGACTTTCATGAGGAAAAGTCAGACTTCTATTTTTATTTTATTTTTTTAATGTTAGGAGTACCTAAAGTTTATACCGAGGATTAATAGATTTCCATCCTCAATTCAGTTCCACCCAAACACCTTTAAGACTCCAGGAATTAGTCAGTGGTGACTAATGGGTTCTCTGAACAGCACTTGACAAGTCCACCCAAAATTACTGTTGAATCCCTTAATCATCACTGGCACACCAAGAGAATGAAGACATGTTAAAACTTTTTTTCAAGAAAAACTGGTTTACAGGTCTTTGAGAGTACCCCAAATTAAATAGCAAAAGCTCTCTAACTTTTGCTATTTAATTCTCTCATATAAATTCTCATAAAGTTGTATGTCCACATTCATACTCAAGGAGTTGTTTCCCTCTGAATTATTTTCTTCCTTCTTGTTTAGGTGGGTGTTGTGATTTAAAAAAGCAGCACAAGACAGAAAGACGCCATTCGACAGAGCTCACGTGGAGGGGGCTTTTTATTAGGGGAAACGGAATGGGAAAGGGGAAGGGGGAGATGTCTCTGGGGACAGGAGCAGCAGAAAAGAGAGGCGGGGGCAGGGAGACAGTGAGACAGGCAGAGAAAGAGGGAGACGGGGAGAGAGAGGAAAAGAGAGAGGGGATGTAGCGAACAGGCACAGGCGGTGCTCTTAGTGGCTGCAGCTGAGGGCGTGTCCTGTCAGAACCCCAAGGGCAGGCCAGCACAGATGCCTGAACACTAACAGTGGAGGTGGAGAATCAATGCTAGGCAAAAGCTTGATCACTGAGCTACAGCCATAGCCCTCCTTTGACTATTTTGACTATTCAATATATTTTCTATAAAAACATGGTCTCAGCATTTACAGCTCTACGATGGGAAAGCATGTCTGTACTCGTTCTTGTTTGGTACATAGTATGTCCTTAGCAGCAGGAGGAGGAAGCCACTCAAAATAGTGAAGTTCCCAGGACAGCTCTGGTTCCAGAGAGAATCTCGTTCGCACCCTCCCTTCCCCATGGAGCCCTGTGAAATTCACTACCACATGGGACACAGTTTTCTCTCAGGGTAGTGAGAATCCAAACTATAGTCAGATTTAAAATTCCCCTATATGCACTGCAAACTAGCCGTCTCTGACTTTTCTCCTGAGGGTGCTTACATCCTGAGGGTGCAGGTCCAGGCTGTTCTCTTCTCAAGAGAGAAGAGAAAGAGGGGTGGCTGTTGGCCAACCGAAAGCAAGAGGGAGGGAGGGAGGGAGGGGGGTAAGGGAGGAGAGCAAGAGCAAAAGAGATCTTAAATGGGTGGGGTCTGTCTTTTAAAGGGGTGCTTTACACCTGAGTGCAGACTGGTACTCATGGAACCCTGGGCTGACCAGAGCACCGCCTGAGTGCATTCTTCCAGATGACAGGGGCAGGCCGGCGTAATGCCTGAATCCTTACAGGGGCAATGAAGAAAACATTTATATTTCCTTA